ACCCCCAGCATCCCACCGCTCCCTCAGCTCCCTCCTCAGCCCGGCCGAGGCGTTGGGGGCTCTCAGCGTCCCTCGGGCGCTGCCCATCCCCGCGCCCCGGGCCGCTCTGGGTGTCGGTGCCGCCCGTCCGTCCGTCCGTCCGTCCGTCCGTCCGTCCGTGTGCCTCTTCCCCGCCTCAATGGGCAAAGGGAACAATGGGCGGCATTGTGCGGCTGTCGGCGCCACAAAACCCGCATTGAGCTGCGGGGAGAGAGAGAGAGAGAGAGAGGGGCCCCGCAGCCCGGCCCGGCCCGGCTCGGCTCGGCCCGGCCCGGCTCGGCCCGGCTCGGCTCGGCTCGGCCCGGCTCGGCTCGGCTCGGCTCGGCCCGGCCCGGCCCGGCCCGGCTCGGCTCGGCCCGGCTCGGCCCGGCTCGGCCCGGCTCGGCTCGGCTCGGCCTGGCTCGGCTCGGCCCGGCTCGGCTCGGCTCGGCCCCGCCCGGTCCGCGGCGGCCACCGGGACGCGGCCACGGCGGCGGGAGGGGCGGGCCTGACGGGGGAGTGTGGGAGCTGTGGGAAATGTGGGAAATGTGGGAAATGTGGGAATGTGGGAATGTGGGAATGTGGGAATGTGGAAATGTGGGAATGTGGGAATGTGGGAATGTGGGAATGTGGGGTGTGTGGGAACTGTAGGGTTTTGTGGTGTCTGCGGGACCTGTGGGGTCCGTGGGCTCTGCGGGACCTGTGGGGTCCGTGGGCTCTGTGGGCTCTCTGGGCTCTGTGGGATCTGTGGGGTGTGTGGCGTCAGTGGGTTTTGTAGGATCTGTGCAGTCAGTAGGATCTGTGGGGTCTGTGTGAGCTATGGGGTCTGTGGAGTCTGTGGGAGCTGTGGGCTTTGTAGGGTCTGTGAGGTCTGTGGGATGTGTGGTGTTTGTGGGACCTGTGGGGTCTGCGGGACCTGTGGAGTAAGTAGGATCTGTGGGATTTGTGGTTGTGGGGTCTGTGCAGTCAGTAGGATCTGTGGGGTCAGTGTGGTCTGTGGGATCTGTGGGGTCAGTGGGGTCAGTATGGTCAGTGGGGTCTGGGGTCAGTGGGGTCAGTGGGGTCTGGGGTCAGTAGGATCTGTGCGGTCAGTAGGATCTGTGGCGTCTGTGGGATTTGTGGTTGTGGGGTCAGTGTGGTCAGTGGGGTCTGGGGTCAGTGGGGTCAGTGGGGTCAGTGNTGGGCGGCATTGTGCGGCTGTCGGCGCCACAAAACCCGCATTGAGCTGCGGGGAGAGAGAGAGAGAGAGAGAGGGGCCCCGCAGCCCGGCCCGGCTCGGCCCGGCTCGGCCCGGCTCGGCTCGGCTCGGCTCGGCCCGGCTCGGCTCGGCCCGGCCCGGCTCGGCCCGGCTCGGCTCGGCTCGGCCCGGCTCGGCTCGGCCCGGCCCGGCTCGGCCCGGCTCGGCTCGGCTCGGCTCGGCCCGGCTCGATTCGGCTCGGCCCGGCCCGGCTCGGCCCGGCCCGGGTCGGCTCGGCTCGGCCCGGCTCGGCTCGGCTCGGCTCGGCTCGGCTCGGCCCGGCCCGGCCCGGCTCGGCCCGGCCCGGCTCGGCCCGGCTCGGCTCGGCTCGGCTCGGCCCGGCTCGATTCGGCTCGGCTCGGCCCGGCTCGGCCCGGCCCGGGTCGGCTCGGCTCGGCCCGGCTCGGCTCGGCTCGGCCCGGCTCGGCCCGGCTCGGCTCGGCCCAGCCCGGCTCGGCTCGGCCCGGCCCCGCCCGGTCCACGGCTGCAACCGGGACGCGGCCACGGCGGCGGGAGGGGCGGGCCTGACGGGGGAGTGTGGGAGCTGTGGGAAATGTGGGAATGTGGGAATGTGGGAATGTGGAAATGTGGGAATGTGGGAATGTGGGAATGTGGGGTGTGTGGGAACTGTAGGGTTTTGTGGTGTCTGCGGGACCTGTGGGGTCCGTGGGCTCTGTGGGATCTGTGGGGTCAGTGGGGTCTGGGGTCAGTGTGGTCAGTAGGATCTGTGGGGTCAGTGGGATCTGTGGGGTCAGTGTGGTCAGTGTGGTCAGTGTGGTCAGTGTGGTCAGTGCGGTCAGTGGGATCTGTGGGGTCAGTGGGGTCAGTGCGGTCAGTGGGGTCAGTGTGGTCAGTGGGATCTGTGTGGTCAGTGGGGTCAGTGGGGTCAGTG